CTCAGCATCAAACGGATAAGAAATGATTTACTGTAGTCATTTAATTTGACAAATATTTACTGAAAATCTCCACGTAGGCACAGAATCTGTAATAATGAGTAGATTTTTTTCTTCTTAAACTGCTTTGTTACAGTTTATTACTCTTCCTTGTGGGAAAATACTCTACCATGGATTAGTCAGATGTGGTTTTGTGGAAATCTCTTAATTAACTATTGCAACTTCATAACTCTCGTTTCTTTATTTGGTTTCCTAGGGAGTGAGCGTGTGCATGTGTGTATACATGTTTCTCTGTGTATAAAATTTTTGCATAAAACACATGCAAATTCATGTAAAGCAAAAACACAAATCCTAGGAAGAGAAAGGCAAAATCAAGGAGGAAAATAGTATTTGGAAGATTTGCATGGGACAATACTAATAAAATGTAAGTATCTTGCAAACAGAAACTAGAAATGAATGTTTCTTCTTCGGCTACCACAGAGAATATATCAGCAACGCTTACTTCAACATCCATCCCACAGATCTCAATGGCCACCTTAACTGGGAGCCCTTCAATTATCCATCACTGTGTATGTTACAACACAGACTTTCCTGTTAATTTATACTTTTCTACAAAACATATCACTATCTAAGTTTTCTATATATCCCCCAATTTTCCTCAAATGCTTTAGGGTTTCAAAAGATTCAGTTCCAGCTAGATGCCCATCATATAAAAGGGGTTCCTTATTAAGTATCTGTAGAGTAAATCACGGACCAAACCAATAAGCAGATAAGCAGTATTTTATCTAAACTTCAGGAGCTTGATTGAAAGACAAATCACTCAATAATAAATAATTTAGTAAATAAAGTTAGTAAAGGTCTATTGAGGGTTAATTATGTTCCGTGTACTGTGAAGATACTAGCATCCCAGACACGGCCTTACTCCATGATCTCAAAAAGCCTACTGTCAGAAAAATCTAGAATACCTCCACAGAATGAGTGTAATTTTAAAGCAGAGGAAATTTTCCCAATTAATGCATGCTATGAATTTCTTGGATAATTTGGAAAGCTTGGGTTCTTTTAAAATTAGGATCTATTAATATATTGGTATCAAATGATCAATGTACTATATCAACTTAGTTTTATTTTGCCTCCTCACACATTAGAGGGTCTTCTCAGCAAGACCCTCTAACATATCTGATAGCAAAGTACTCTGTTGATTTTCAGTTAAATTGCCTTATTTAAATAACCACACCAATTACAGATTTTGTTTTATACCTCTTCATAAAAAGCAGAAATCAGTGCAAAACTGAAGCACATACATGCCTCTGAACTGGGGTAGGGGTGGGGGGCTAGGAAAAGCATTGTCGTCTCATTTAGGAAATTACAGACCAGATACTTTAAAATAACTGGTGTGGACTTAATGAAATAGTGTCTTCCAGGACTACCGCTGGTCATCAGTGGTTGCTAGAACTCTATGAAGAATTTGAACTGGTTCTTTGAAAACAAGCTATGACCACAGTATTAAGACATCTTTGTCAGACCACCAATAAGTTCCTTAGAGCTAGTTCTATTTTACATATCATTTAAAGTCTTTGCCATGGTTTTACTCATGGAATAACAGAGTTTTGCACTTTCCAAAAATTATTATTAGCCTTTATACTTATCATTTTAACAGATACATATTTTATAGTATATAATTATTAATACCAATATTTTTTAAAGCAAGAATTAAATTCCTCTACCTAAATAGAATCAGAAAAAGTGTGACATATGTGTATCATAAGAATGAAAATATAATGGTATATATTAATAGTCAAATATTATAAATAATTTAAAAACAAATATTATGTACTAAAGGGTTTTGAATACAGGGATAAATTCTTTAATGATTATTTTGTTTTGAATCTAAAAGAACAAAAATATTTATTTAAATTCAGTTTGATTGAAGAATATCTTAACGTTTAGAAAGTTAAACAGCATTAATTCTTTTTAACAATTAACTTAGATTTACATAGAAATTTCGAAAAGAATACGATATAGACCTCTCAACTAGCACTCTCTTAAGCACCGGAAAAATCATTATCTTTCCCAGTTCTTTCAATTTCTGTCATAAGAAGCACCGAGAGAACTATATATTTTGGTAATTAATTTCCTTAAGATAATGTTAGAAACATCATGTTCTTTAAAATATAAATGAATTTCAAGGTGATCATGCTAGAGGATAATATTAATGGCATGTGATTTATTGTGACAAGAGACCTGATCTGAAACACCGTTATTAGGACTACTTAAAAAAAAACCATTTGCAAATTCTTGAAAATATAAAAGAGTGCTATGGCTGCACCTGCTTCAGTGTTGAAATCTGAAAACCTGTCCCCGTAAGGATGAACCTGTGTACACACTGAATCTCACATGCCTTCCTCATAGAAATTTATTTTAATATTTCCATGTCCTAAATATTTTGCATTATAGTTTAGGGAATAATCTAAATGTTTCTAATTCTGAGTGAAGGCTTAATCTTCAAACATTTAGGTCAAAATGCATATGTCTAATTAACTTGGTAATGTATGTAATTTTAGAGCTGATTGTTATCTTCAAATATGGTTGGCCAATAGTGTGCATCGGGTGTTTACTATACACCTGGCATTCTTTGAACAGACACTAGAAACTGGTGATCTGTGTCAGTCTGAAAGTATTTGCTATGTTATTACTCTTCCAAATGAAATATCCCCTCTATACAACCAAGATTTGCTCATGCTTCAAATTTACAAAGAAGTTACATTAAGATACGGTTTTATACATTTTATAAGCACATTAGTGTGTACAAACACGGGTGTAAATGACATCTAACCACATAGTGGGCAGTGAGAAATGACATTAAGTAGTACTGAAATTGATAATAAAAATTAAGTAGATATATGTGAATAATGTCTTTATTATTAAGAAGAATTAAAATTATTATAGAGAACAAAATGCATTAGCTTCTAACATGAAGGAAGATCTTAAACACTGGGATTCTTATATGTAGGCTGTCCAAATTTTGAGAATCACATATATATACTGATACACCTCTCTATACTTTTAATGATCCTTTCTGCCTCCTTCTCTCCCCCCTCTCTCTCTCTCTCTTTGCTGAATAAGTTTGTAGCAAAAATGCCTTAAACATTATTAAACTTTTATTCTCCTGTGAATTTCTCAAAGCCGTTAATGGGCTATTAAATTGTGAAAATCCTGAAGGGGTACACTGCATGCTGAATTTTCCAAACAGCATTTTTTTTTGCTTGAAACATATTTTAAAATATGATTACTGACACAAGAATGCTTTATAGAAAGACATTAAATAAGCACAGGCTAGTCGATTCAATAATATGGTTTTATGTACATTAATAAACATGTTCATTTTCAGGACATTCAAAATGTATTATTAAATGCTAAAATCTACTATAAAGTTAAACATATTCAGTTACATCGATTTATTTATGTATATTTAATAAAATAAAATTAAATCTTATGAAATGAAATGTCTCCTTTTTCTAGCTTTAGAGAAACATCACAGGTGCAAATCTATAATTAGAGTGCTTTCAACTTAAATTTATGATATGCATGGCACAAAATTCAAACAATACACAAAAATACAGAATAAATTTTCAATCTCCACCAACCACTGTTGGTGGAGAATTCCCAAAAGGGAACTTCGTTCCCTTTTCTGAAAGGAACCAGAGTTATCAGATTTTATTAATCCTTCTAAAGACCTTGTGCACACATATACATACATATACTTCTTGCATTTTCTTTTAACCAACTTGTATCTATCTGAGCAATGAGAGGAAAAGAAAACTGTAACTCCGTGGTTTATGACTTGTAGTGTAAGAAAGAACTCAAGGCAAAATCTAAGGTAGGTATTAGAAACAAGATTTGATATGTTTTTGTAAAACACTTAAATAGGTAAATTTAATAAAAAGTCAGATAGGATTTCACTAATCATGAAACTATTTAATATGATGATTCTTATATAAAGTAGTACACTAAAGTTTAGATTTAAGAAAAATATACAATAATTTGAAAATACATTTTAATATTTATTTTTATGAACCTCTATGGAAGAAAATTATAGCAACATGCTAATATGTGACAATATTAAAATAAACATAATAATATTCAGAGGCAGCTGCCTAATAAGCAGTCTCTAACATCATGACACGATATACATCTAACCAAATACAGAGGCCATAGATCCTTTGGTTCGAACATCTACATATACACAAATGTGTGTATATGTGTATATATGATTTTGTAACTTCATGGAATGAACAGTAAAAATGGGTATAACTGAAGCAAAAGATGATTCACTTCTTTGGCCCATTTTTTCCAGGTGAGTAGGGAGGAAATAGCCATATTTCCTTCTAGAAATGGGGAAGATTCAAGACCAAAGTTGTCCCCATTTCCTTAAATACCAGAAAAAGTGTCAAAGTCTACATTTTGGAGGGAAGAATATTCACATATTGTTATAGTGACAAAACTGATTTTGGTCATCAAGGATTTTTTTTCTTGAAGAAAGTATTTAAAAGTACTTCATGAACATTGCTATTTCTCTGGCTTATTTTCCATTTAGCTCAGGCCAATATTGGGCAGACAGTATAATGATTGGAGGCTTTATATAATATCTATGTAATATACAGGTACTCAGCATTATTGAATCAGAACCTCATGTTTTCCTTTGGTATTTGGGATGATCAAATTCTCCTACTTAGCCACGTAAAAATTTCAGTATGTCTTAATCTTTCTTTTCAGCACATGACAATGGACTAGAGATGGACACATGGCATTTCCCATTATAATCTCATTAAAACCTAACAGAAAAATCTGAATTTATTTACACTTTTGTCTTTATACTTACACGCCAAGCCTTATTCAGTTAACATGTGAAGTATAAGTATTTTATACCACATAGTGATCCTTTTTATGATATAATTTCTCAACAGAAACCATAATGAAAATTTCATCATTTGAAGTTATCTTACCTACTGTTGAATTTCTCTGGGTGTTTTTCTCTCATGATGTGGAATCTGTGTGCAATGGAGGCGTCCTAAGGAGAGAAACAGAAAACAAAAACAGAACAGTTTATGACCCTACCATCTTGGAGAAAAAAGATTAAAAGAGAAAAAATGTTAATAAATAATGTTTGTAAATTAACCTTTTTCTTAACAATGTCATTGCCAAGAGGATGTTCTGAAATTAGGTAAAAATGTATAATCCACGTAAATTCTGTGCAAGCATGATTCATGCCACCATTGGTCACTTGTCATATTTACTTCTAGGAATTGATTTCTATTTCATTCATGCATCTCCTTTAACAACTGGTTTTGGCCTCATACTCAAAGTATGTTTAAGATAGAGCACTGGACATAAATGTTAAATAAAAAGTAGTTGAAAATACTGTTATACCAGAGCTGGAAGAGTAATATAGGTGGAGAAATGATCAGGCAGAAAAGCTCCTAGTCCTTTGAAATTAATTATGGTTAAAAGACAGTATGAGGTGCATATCTGGTAAAGGCAAATATATTATACAACCTCAAAGTTATTAAGAGTGTTTTGAATGTATAATTATTGTTTGTTCCACAGCAACTTTCTGACATATGTATCTTATCTTGCTTAATGAAAAACAAACCAAAGAGAAAAATTTACTTTTGGAGAACTGGTTTCAAGTGTAACGAGGCTCCAAGACCCAAATGGGTGAGTTCTGAATCCTAATGGATGTTTCTTCCTTTCAGGAAATCCATTCAGAGTTTCTATGAGACAGAATCCCACTGAATGTGGGAGATTGCTGGAATATTGTGATTCAAGCTTTTCAAGCACAAACTGTTCTTGCTGACTTTAAACAGTAGCCCCTGTTATTGCAAGGAAGGAGATACTTTCCCATTCTTCATCTACACATGATTAATCACTCCAATGAGAAACTAATATATTTACCAGTCATCTCAATAGCAACGGCGCTATTGTTGTGATTAACTGTTAATTTTGTTTCAGAGTAAACGAAAAAGAAAAACCAAACACAAAGAAAATAAAGAAGCTGTGCGTTTGAGAGAATTTTGAAAACACTAATCAAGGATTAAAAGTCTAATGAATGAAATGAAAAGGCTAATGTGCTTATTCATGCATAACAAAGCATGAGGCACAAGAGAGGGACCAATGCCCACTGCAGATGGCGGAGAGTTGCTTTTCCCTACAAGATAGAGCTGTGATAGAAATGTAGTGTTTTTTTGTACACTTTATCCTCTAAAAATCATTGAGTAATTGAACTACTCCACAAGTGAAAAGAATACAAAGGTATAGATAGCTACGTAAAAAAACAACATTTATTTAAAAAGTTACCAAAAACCCCTCTATGTTTTTTTCTAAGATATAACTTTGTTATATATACATGGCCAACTTCCTTGTTTGCTAAGAAACAGGAATATCAAGATGGCTCACTTTTATTGGCCCAGTAGTTCTAAAGCTCAGGTCAGAGTTCATGTAAAAAATATTCTCATTAATAAGTCATAAATATATTCTATTTTAGAATGTGAAGTTGTCTTGTTGTGGTATGAAATTACAGAAAAAAATCTCAGCTAGGCTTTTCATGATATATTATGCAGCATGGTCGTTAATTAATTTTTAAAAATCATTTATTTTGAATTTAACCCTAATCTGGTTCAAAATCAATTTAGAATACTTTGTAATTAAAGGCATACCTCCAGCAGTCCAGTAAAGCAAAAGCAAAGAAATATGAATTAAGTACTAAGAATGAATGATCAATATTGGTTATCCATAGAGAGACTATCACTGAATTTACTTTTGCTTAAATTATTTGTTTCTGCAAATTTAGAGAACTGAGACTTTTAAAAATAGATTGTGTAGCACATTTTGCTTTACAAGCATACATTTTTGCAGTAACAAATTTCTTCCTTTCCCAAGGAAGATAAAAAGATAAACAGGAGAGAGAGATAAGGAGAGAGAGACAAAGAAGGAGGAGGAGGAGGAGGAGGTGAAGAGAGAGGGGGAGAGAGAGAATGAGAGAGAAGTGCAGAGTATCAAAAGGACATCATTTAGGCAGACTGGATTATAACTGAGCAGACTCGGGGAAACAGAGAATACCCAAAAACCAAAGACAAACTTAATATTAGTTCTACCTCCAACATACTTGGGCAATGGCTCATCAAGTCAACAGAGGGAAAAAAATAAACACTACTGAGGAACACTGGTGTGCCTTTTCCTTGTGCTGAATGGGTTCCACCACAAAAAGAAAGTTGGCCTCGCTGACTACAGGATTGATAAGGAACAATGACAGCAGGTGTTCATTTGGATGAGAATTCAGACCAAATTCTCATGGGGCCTGCCTCTGGCATAACCCCAAGGGGCTTGAAAGAGAACTCTCAAATGCTGAAACTTATCCAGCAGCCATATTTGGATTCTCTAAAAGGAGACCAAATAAGAAAAAGCTAAAATAGTGCCGTTGATTTCTTTTATATAAATGTTGCCCATCCTGTCCCTATCGCATGTTTTAGAAAACAGAAATTAAATTGCCATCACTTCCACACTCTAAAATAGAAGAACTATGAATTCAGACAGATTTCACTTCTAGGACTGGTAACTTTGAATAAATTATTTATTGTGAGTCACAGCTTTGTTATCTTTAGAAGGGGATACTGATAACACTTTAAAGTATTGAGGAGAAGGTATTTTGAGAGTATTATGTAAGCAAATGGAATAGTGTTCTTAACATGAGGGAAACTTTGGATCCTACTAAAAACTGTATGAGAAAACATAATTAAGTGGGAAAATACATCTTTTTAAAATATAGGACCCACCATTATGAAATATTCCAATATTCCCCAAATTTATGTATCAAGTCAGATCTAATCCCAATAACAAAAGATTTTGGCTGGGCACTCAAAGCAAGAGTAACTAGAAAGAAATGATACTGAATGCCATCTAAAAGTATAAATCTTCTGAATAGCAATCAAGATTTATAAAAAGAGTAAAATAAATAGGGAAAGTGTCTCTAGTACAACCAGATATGAAAAGGTGTTACAAACTAGAATAATTAAAATAGTTTGTTACTGGTTCAGAAGTAACATATAAAGATATAGACATAGAAATCTGTTTTAGTATAGTAATTATGGCTTTCATTCAAAGAGGGAAAGCAAATGACATTATGGAAATAGTATTTTCTGTGATCCCTCTAGGTTTTTTCTCTCTATGTAAGTCACAATAGCAATTTTTATGAAATAATCTCTAGTGGGCTGAGTCACGGTTCTTAAAGATATCAGAACCTATTTCCTGGTATCAGGTAAAGTTTGTAAAGATGTGATCAAGTTAAGGATTAACACTGCTTGGAATTGGTAACTCCTTTCTACCTTACACTTCTTTTCTTGGGAATAGAACTGTCTGTCATACTATGCTTGTTCCATCACTATATTCAAGAAGATGGGTGTTAGAATAAAGCTGACTCCTGAGGTAGGATATGGGATTTGCTGAATGGTAGAGACAGATACAAAAGCATAGTTTTCAATAAGGAAACTTTTGCCAACAGGTGCCTTCACCATGATCAGAATTGTCATGAATTATTTAATTTCTTTAAATGAAATTGCTATAAACTACTTTCTCTTGAAAAGCTATACATTGTATTCAGTTTAAATTTTACTTTCAAATTTTAAAGTTTTTCCCTTTGATTATTCAGTAAAATTGGAGAGAACCATGCCCTACTGTATGGCCATGTTGAAGAGGGAAGGAAGATTTGAGGTTGTATGTGAGATGAGGCCTGTTCCTACATTAGCATTTTCCCACTCTCCCACCATTCATGAAGAAGCCCTAGGTAATGTGGTATCTTTACACTGAGAAGGTACATCATCATCATTCCAACCAAAACCAGGAGATAGGCTCTAATCAGAGGATGTGCATTATCCTAAATGGAGGAAGGTTTATTCTCATTAAAAGACTATCCGATTTTTTTTTAGGGGGAAGGCAGATAGGATCATGCAGAATACCAGGATAAGTAAATGGAATCTGTCACTACATTTAATCCTTCAGGACAATGTGAGAAAGTAGTTTCTAGACCCAGAAGGAAAGAGTAACATTGAGACAACGGCTTTAAGAGGGAAAAAAATAAGACATCCAGTTGCAAGTGACTTCCCATTGAACACCAGGAATATAAGTATCTTAACCCTACTCCTCCCTCCCTCCCATCTTTTGCTGGGGCTTTCAACTGGCCTAGTCAATCAGAAGCAAGAGGGCAAAAGGAATGTAATGTCCACATTGGACACTGCCAGGCAAAGAGCAAGATGGACAAGAGTAGAGAGAAGACCTAGAGAGGTCAACAGTAGCAATCCAGAATGAGGAGTTGCAGTCCTTACGATTTAACGCTTAGAGCAGAATGGCGAACTTTGTGTAAGAACAGAGAAGACTATGAAGCACAGGCACCAAATACATGGTAAATAATTGACAATCAAAACAGACACTGCAATATTAATATAAGTAAATTAAGTATAATGTACATACATATAAATGTATGTATAAAATTTTGAATTTCTTAAACAAAATAGTTATTACTTGGTACCTGGAAATAAATAATAATTTTTCTCATTTTAAAAGTGAAACAACTGAAATGGAGTTATTATTTCAGAAAATGAAACTGAAGTTGCTATTCTTTTTAAAAATATTTTATTTATTTATTTTTAGAGATAGGAAGGAAGGGAGAAAGAGAGAGAGAGAAACATCAATGTGTGGTTGCCTCTTATGTGGCCCCCACTGGAAATCTGGCCTGCAACTCAGGCATATGCCCTGACTGGGAATCGAACCTGCGATGCTTTGGTTCGAAGCCCATGCTCAATCCTCTGATCTACGCCAGCCAGAGCTGAAGTTGCCATTTTTATTGAAAAGCACCTGTAAGCTTAGATTTATATTTTGAGATTATAGAATATACACACAAAATGTTCTGGCTTTATCAAAGAATGATGTATCCCACATAAATATATTTCCACTACATGCAGTGCACTAAAATTTAAAATTTAAAATTACTAATTTGGCATAAAGAGTATTTTATTAAAT